AGCTATAGAACTACCTAGTTTCCATAGGAAATTATTTCTTTAAGCCCACAGCATTGCTCTTTTGTACTAATCTCTTTGATCTTTGGTGAGAAGAAGCCATAAGAGGAGACTAGACAGCTGTCATGAACAAAAGGACAACATTCAGGCTCCTCTCATTCACCTGTCACACATGTTTATCAACTCCCAGGTCTGAATCACAGGCGTAATGCTTCTGTCAGAGTTAAGAGTGGAAGACTCTCTAGCCTAGTCTTCAATTAAGGAGAGTCTGTGAATGGACTTAGTGCAGCTCGCACAGAGGTGACAGCCCTTTCCTCTGTGCTCCTCCATACCCTTCCATCCCAAATCAGAGAACTTCTTTAACTCATCTCCAACTATGTGCTTTTCTGGTTTTCCATGTAAAACTATGAGCTCTTTTGGTGTCTCCAGGTGCTCACACAGAGTGGCACATAACAAGTACTCAGAAATGGATGTGTGGAAGGGTGGATGACAGAATGAGCAGGGGAGGAAAACCATCTGGTACGGTGGTTTATTCCCCTCGGAAACAACACTTGGGTTCCTGCAAGGGGTTTCACCACACTCTCCCAGGACCTGTGGGAATGCCTCGTGTACACACCAGATCCCATGCTCAGGGTTTTGTTGAACAAAACCTCAATGACTAACAACCACAGCCTGAGAACATGGCCATCAGAGAACAGCCACTTCCCTGTTTCCTTGGTACCCAACAAATCCTCTGACACATAAACAGTTCTCACGGGCATCACAGGAAAGAGTCAATGGGCAAAGAGTTCATTCAATGGAAGCAGAAAGGTTTGCCCTCCACTACATGGGCTTCCAGTGATCTACCAAGTCAGTGATGAGGAGGCAAAAGAAAATTCTGATGGGAATGGAAAGAAGCATGACGCGTGACTGTCAAGATGACTCACTCACTCATTCACTCATTCACGAGATACTCAGTGCACACTTACTAGGGTCAATCTTGTTTGGGAAGTGGCATTCTATAGTGAACCAGGAGACAAAAAAAGAGCCTTTGCCTGGTGGAACTTAAGTTTAGTCAGGGGAGACAAATCTGTCAGATATTAGAAACTGGGGGAAGTAAGGCTGCAAAGGAGGATAGGAAGGATCAGTATTGGATGAAGGACTGGCATTTTAAACAAGGTGATCAGGGAAAGTTTCTCTAAAAAAGTGTCCTGAACAAGGCAAGAGGGCAAGGTGCAGACTTCTGAAAAAAGAGCACAGTGCTGGGGAAGGCTTTGATGCCAACTTGCTGCAGTCTATTACAAGCTGCAAAATAAGAAGCTGGCACTGATGACACCAAAGGCAAGTGATCAATTCTCATGAGTGCTCTTGGATCCCTGCTTCCTTCCAGCACCAAATCTGTACTGAACTGAATGCCTCCTATTCCCCCAAATCACCATCCTCCTTTTCACCTGCACACAGGCAGGTGTAATCTCTCTCATCTGCACAAGAAACTCTACAGGAAGCCTTCCCTGGCTCTGCCGCCTTCTACTGCAGGTTAGCTCAGATGCCACAATTCTAAGCAACCATAATCACCTGCGAATCTTCTCACCCCTCCTGCACAATGTACCTGTTATCACTATCCACCTGTGTCTCTATCTGAATTCCCCAAGGGCAGTGACCATGTCTTACTAATCTCCAAATTCCCACTCCTACCATGGTGTGTGGTATGCAATAGTCACTCATTAATTGCTGAATACTGAATGCATAGGTGAATTCCTTGAGGGTGGGGCCCAGGTCTGATTCATCTCAGAAGGTAGCAAAGAGCCTGGCACCACAGAAGAGACACAAGATATGCTATATGAGTTGGTGTCTGTCCCGGTTTGGGAATTTGATCCCGACAGCCCTATCATCCTCAATCCCTGACCATGGCGGTACAGGGCCAATGCAGATGTGGTCTTTTGGGGTGTAGGTGCCAAGGTTCAGAGTTAGAAAGCATAGTTTATGCTTATATATGCTGTGGGACTGTTCTCATTAGAATTTACATTAATCTCTAACAAGCCTTAACCTCATCCTTAAGCTTCTGTGCCCAGAGATAATTTGGTGTTTGGGGCATGGTTTTTCTAAGCCACCCATTTTGCAAATCCAACCCAATCTGGACGGGCCTTCAAAATCGTGGAGGCTGCAGACAGCAGCTGCAGCTGCTGTGCCTCAGTGCAGATGGCTGGTAATTCTGCTTGGCCACTGTCTTTGAGCTCCATGGCAACGTGGGAGTGTCCCTCATGCTCCCCATCTTCCTTTTCAGCACATAGAGTAATTCAAAGTTCCTTCAAATAGAACCACAAAGATTGAGAGAGAAGTTGATACCATCTAATCTAACTCTTTCGTTTGTCAGATGGGGAAAGTATAGTTCAGTGAGAAACCACTCTGCAAAACAGACATGACTGTCTCCATTTTACAGATGAGTATGGTGAGGATCTCAAGCGAAGTACCTCACTCATGGTTCCACAGCTAGTAATGGGGCACAGCCAGATTTGATTCCATGCCTGTCTGATTCTAAAGGCAAAAATCTGTCACTGCTGCACCCAGCTGCTCAAATGTGGTTCTCCGCAGTGTTCCAGGGAAGCTGTGAATCACAGACTGTCTTTGCAAAATCACAGGGTGCAGGGAAGAGGCCAGAATCTATTTGCCCAACTCCAGCACTTCCTAAAACAACATAAAAGCATTTGTGGGGAAGGGCCTATGGGCTTCTTTGAGTGACTGCAGAATTTCCAACTTCCCGAGACATGCAGCAATGGTGCCCTTCAAACTTCTTTTGGAAAGCTTTGCAAACCAGACATTAGAGAGGTTGAGATTTCTTTGTAATATCACATAAAAACAGCCTTGGAAAAGGGCACCATTCTGATTTTTGGCCCCTTGCTTCAGGTTGTTTCAGGACCTTACCTTAAAAAGTAGAGCTGTGCTTGCAAGAGTTCCTTAGTGTGTGGTATGTATGACCGGGGGCATGTGCAATAATAAACTTAGGAAAGGATTAAGGAGGCTCTTCTCATTTTCTCTCTCTCTTCCTTTCTCTCCTTTTCCTTCCCTGCCTTCCTTCCTCTAGCAATATGAAGATATCACAGTTTTTTCCTCTCTCAGAGATGCAAATAAATCTTCAATCAAAGTATATATTCTACTCACTCATCATCTGCACAGGCATTTCTTGACGTAATCATAGCTGGTAAGGAGCAATGGACTCAGGTGTGTGGGGTTGGGGAAGGGGAAGAGACATCTCAATCATTAATGCGAATCTGAAGAAAGGCAGGTATCCTTCAGGTGAAGTTGAAATTAGGGTTAAGATCTTGTATATCCTAATTTTATACTGAAAAGGTTTGTTTTTGGCTTTATGTAGCTCAGTCAGTACACACAAAGCAGGAGTCATGAAGACCAGCCTTGGGTACCTTTTCTGTCTCTTACTGGCTATACCGTTGTTACTTAACACCTCAGATTCAAGTTTGTTTCCAGAAACAAAAGAATCAAAACCCATGTCATCGGCCTATTGAGAGAAGCAAATGTTGTGGTGTAAGCTACGTACAGTGCCTGGTACACAGCAAGCATCCCAAACATGTACCCCAAACGTTCACCTTTTGGGTTGCTGTGGAGGACATGCTCCCCAGTGTTGGCTTCAAAATAATCCACTATTTTTCTCTTGGAATCAAATGAAGGGGATGAAAAAAAAATGAACACATACCCAGCTTCTCTAAGCATTTTTGCAAAATACTGAAATTACATTTGTAAAATTGCTTCCAGCCCCGAGTAAAATACACACATGGGCAGGAACCTAAATATCTTTGCTAAATTATCCTTCCTAAGAGCAAAGCAAAAACAAAAAATTGAAGAATGGAGGGAAGTGCTACTTATGAGTAAATAAGATCCAGGTTTAATGTTTTTATAGTTGGGGGCCCACCTTTCAGCTCTACACCCTAGGTAATGAACAGGAAGCCAGAGGCCTCCAAACTTGGAAAGGATTGGGGGAGAAGAAAAACAAAACAACCTCTCTGTTGTTTTTTTACAATTTTTTCCAAATAGCCTATGTTCTTTTGAGCTACATCTGACCTCTCTGTATCTCCTTGCTCTGAACTCTACCAAAGCAGCCCAACATAGGAAGTGACTTGGCACATGGACCTCATTCAAGGGGAGAGGAAAGGCTGGGATGACCATGTTTAACTGACAAAGAAAAACAGACCAGCCCACCGTCTGTCAGGCAGCTGTAGGGGAGGACGGCTCTCCACCTGCACTGTCAAAGCACGTCCAGGAAATCAACGCAGACATAGCCAGGGAAAGGGCAACATGTGAATTCAAATTATGGTTCCACCACTAGCTAAAGGTGCTCAAACATGCTCCTTAATCCCTCTGGGCCTTGGTCTCTGAATTAAGAAAAGAGGATAAGAATTCTGTATTTCATGGTGTTGCTACACAGGTCACACATCCTTGCAGATGCAGAAGGATTTTATAAGACTCAAAATCACTCTCAGTGTCAGATAATGGTTATCCTTAAAGTCCTTCCATTGGTAGAGTACTGAAGACAACTAATAGGGTGAACATCACAAGGAACTGGATCTCTAGCCTTGGATCTGAGTGCAGTTCTGGTGTTTATGCAAATTTTGGCAGTTCACTTAGATCTTTGAGCCTTACTTAGTCAACTTTTCCCACAATAGACAGACTATTATTTTATAATACAAGGTTATTCTAAGGACCAAATGAGTGCATGGATTTTCAGAAAGTAGTGCTAGTACCATTGTATAAAGTATCTTATCACTTTATAATTTCAAAATGAGTGCTCAATTCTTATCAAACAGTATGGGAAATACCATTTTTATCTGAAAAATGGAAAAGGCTTAGAAAGCAAAACAACTTCTGCTAAGCCAGTGGAGGCGTTCAGAATGAAATTTAACTTCCTAGTTGACCTCTTTTTTCAAGCATTTCACAATGAAGTTGGTTCCTAACTACTCCAAGGGATACAAGCTGGGAATGGAGTGTGTTTGCATCACAGGGCAGGTACTTACCACCAGATATAGCATAGTGAACATGGAGAAGGAGGCATGGCCGGAGAAGAAGGACTTCCTGCAAGAGTAACAGTGGACCATGAAAGGGCCATATTCACATCGTTGATATTCACTCATCTTTCTGTCTTCCCTCTCTATACTGTAACCTTGACAGCAGGCACTGTGTCTTGCTTGCTTTTGCATCCTACCTGGTAATGTTTTGGAGGCAGGCATAAATAAACAGAAGAATGAATAGGTGAAGGGCCTTACCAATGCTGTAATGGCTTATTTACATATTTGTCTCAGTCATTTGACTACAAGTTCTTCAAGAATAGGGATTATGACTTATTCCCCCATCTAAACCAGAGCCCAATGTTGGGTCTGGCACTTAGTAGGTGCCCAGTCAGTGCTCATTAAGCTGCACTGCATAAAAGGGTGCACACTGTGGCCATGGGAGGTTGCATCTCACCTGGCCTCCTGGACTTTGCTGTCTTCGCCTCTGCACCTGTAGTTCTGAATGTAGCCCTCAGAGCAGTTGATCTGGCTGAAATCAGGGTTGCAGACACTCAGGAAGTGAGGACGCAGGCGCCCAATTGACACTTTAGCGATGTCTGTGAAGGACTGACTGATGGCACAACCGAAAAGGAAGCAGCCCACTTGCTTATACAGGGCTGCCACATAGGGGTTCTGAACGGTCGACCGGGACTTCTCCTTTAGGTAGTAGATCCGGTAGAATTCCCCTGTAATGATCTAAAGGAAAACCAACAAGGGAATTAGGAAGTACTAAGACCCATCATCAAAACCAACACCATAAAGGCCATTCAAGGGACATGGGGAATCTCAGTATTTTACTACATGTTATAACCTACAAATTCCCAATTTTCCATGAACAAGTGTGGCAGATGCAAATATGCAAGGGAGAAATAATCAATGTGTTAAGCATTGTCATCATTTCCTTTTTTTAAAAAAATAGTGGAATATGGCCACATACCTTTGGAGTAAAAAAAATATACAATCAAGTAAATACATATGACAGACAAATAAGGGTTCAGCTGCAGGAGAAAAAAAGTAGATGAGGAATCAAGGCCATGGGTAAAGGTGGGCAGATTTCAAGGGGTCTGGGGTGAAGGATCGCCAACAACAATCTGACTCTGCTGGGGGCCTCAGCCTTAGTGCCAATACTGAACCATAGTGGGAGTTTCCATATGCAGCAGTGAATATACTTCGGTCAGGTCCTGAGCCGCAGTCCAGGCTCTGCCACCTGCCTACTGTCTTTCAGCACTAACATAACCTTTCAAGGCTCAAGGAGGTTGTTCACCTGTGCATAGTTATTGGTTTACATGTGACAACAATGGTGACCAGAGCACAAAAAGGGTTGTTTTTATTTTACCTTTTTTTTCTGGTACTAGGGATCGAACTCAGGGCCTAGGCATACTAAGCAAGTGCTCTACCACTGAGCTATAGCCCCAACTTTATTTTACTTTTTACAAGTATGGTGTGATGAAAAGAACATCAGTCTAAGCCAGGCATGATGTTATATGCTTGTAATCCCAACACTTAAGAGGACCATGAGTTTGAGGCCACAATGCCCTTTGGTGTTTGTGAATTTCCCAGGCCACCCTCTGCTGCCTGCTCAGGTCCTGAGGGCTAGAAAGGAAGTTTCAGTTCTCAGACCCTTCCTCCATCCCATTGTGTCTACTACTGGCCTGAACTACCCTAGTTTTACATCAAGCATGGGACCAGCTGCTGCTCTGTAGTGAATGTGGATGACATCTATCTGTTAGAGAACCTATCTGCTTTGGTGATGGCACACCCACGAAGTCTGCCTCCCTTTTCTTAACTCCACAGCACAGCTGTGGCCACTTCCTAGTTGCAACCACAGCCAAAGGACAGTGATGGTCAACTCATCAGTCACCACAAAATTCCCTTTCACACTTCCTCCTAGGGAGGACGATGAGCCACACTTGCCCTTTCAACGAGTAGCGAGCATGTTCACGACCACAAGGGAAGCAATAGATGGCACATCCGGACATGCTTTTGCAGAGCTCCTGCTCCTTTACAGTGCTGGAAGGCAACAGGGCATAGAAGCTGATCAAGGTCTTCCAGGTCCCCAAAGGCTGGGGAAGAACTGTGTGTAGGTAAGAAACACCAGGTTTGCCGCTGGACAAGCAGATGCAGGAGTGAGAACAGCTCCTGCCACCACCAGCACTGACACAGGGGCCCATTCTGATAAATGCATTTTCTTTATAGGTGCCACACCGGGCCCAGCCATTCCTGAGAGACCAGAACTAATGTTTAACTGCATAGGTGCTCAGAGATTGTTGCTGAAGGAACAAATGAATGACAGAGAGCAGGAGAGGAGTCCTCAGAGTCACTTCATTGTTAAATTGAAAATATCCCCTAAACATTACCAAGGGCCCTTTGATAACATGTTGCAGAAATTAGAATCTGAGAAGCATGGTAAGTCAGAAATGAAAGGGACCATTATATACAAAAGAAACTGGGGTCCAATTTAACTCGCATCTAAAGATTAGACCCAGGTGTACTGACTCCCCACCCAGCATTCTTTCCTACCATTCATGACCTAATTCCCCTTTTGAACCTGTATATACTTTTACCCTATGTAACCTTACAGGCTAACAAGTTCCAGATGTTTACTGCCACAATCATGCTCTCCTTCTTCTTCTTCTTTATATATGAATCATATTCATGTGTCTTTGTATGCAGGGGGAAGAACACAGAGCTAGGAGTCAAGTAGCCAGGAGTCCTCACTCACTGAGTGAATGTGGGATAAGTCAGGTTCTCCATTTGCAAATCATGGCACCAGATTCCATGATTTATTACTTCATATTGCAATGACATATATTCTAACCTCTCCATGCTGCCTCCATCACTAGCTTTCCAACCAAGCAAAGGGAGGATATTATTTGTGAATAACACTATAGGCAAGGATCAGACCACAGGCATAGTCCCTGTCTTTGAATTTCTGCTGAGTTCCCAGAACCAGGTCACTGCCTTAGATGAAGAAACCCTGGCTTAAGCATCAATCAGGGTGATATCTTGACTGATACATGAACTTACTGATTCATTGCAGGTGAGTCACATCTGCTCCAGTCACTTTAGAGTGAAGGGGTTTGATTACAAATCAATGACTCTGCAGCTCTACCCTCCCATCACTCTAAAACATCCATCGTCAGTGCCACAGTCTTCCAACAGTACACAGTGAATTAAAATCTTTCCTCCTTACATAAGAAGACAAAGAGGCAAAGAGGACATCAAATTTCTGATGATGTTAATAATAGCCATCTCTTACAATTCTTTTGCACTTCAATTTCATTTAGAATGCAACTCTGTGAGGAAGATAAATCCATTCCACAGATGCGAATCTCAAACCTTGGGATGATCTGAAGGATGTGAAGTTAGTTAGTAAGGGTCAGGGTGAAGAGTAGAGTCTAGATATTCTGTCTCTCAAGTTCAAAGACACACAGCAGGCTACATGGCTAAAAGTAGTTGGTTGTATTTATTGTTATTAAAACTATTTTCTCCAGTAGAAAAGCAATTATGTATTTTTGAGTACAGGGCCAGGCCGAAGCCATTTAGCAGACACATGACTCCAGGACCACATGGCTTCGGGGGCAATCTTGACAGATTTTGGAGTTAATGAGCAACAAATTATGTATTTTCTCTATTCCCTTGTACAGAAGGGTCGGGGAGTCGACAACACAGCCATAAATCATGATTATGAACCAGCGGACTTGGCTTCTTGTAATCCTACCCCTTAAGGCCATTTAATGAAATTCAGGCTATGAGAGACGGCCCAAACGCTGCACCTCTACAGGAGAGCCAAGGGCTTAAATTGTTCTCTGACACGTTACACACCTAACTCTGGAGTCCCAGATTTACTGCTTTCGGACTTTATTCATTACTCACAGTGTTTTCATTCCTGGGTAATAAAATGAGCTCTTCCCTCCTCTGCCCTCCAAAGCCTTGCCCCCACCCTACGGCCCTCATTTCTGCCTCAGTCAGCAAGGTTCTGATATGTAAATTTCACTGCTGAGAAAAAAAAGGGCCGTCCATGTTGATCCCTCTCTGAAACAGCAAGGACAGAGCTGGGGGTGATGGCAGGCTGCCAGGCAAGCACAGAATTCTCCCCTACCTGCCTTTAAAGTGCTTGGCACAGGGTCTGGAAACTCATAAAGAGGAAAGCATGGCGATTAAACTTCCCAGGGACAGTGAGGGAACAGTCCTTGCCTGCGAGCGAGCAGCCGCAGTGTGTGGGGAAGCTGACTCCAATTGCAAGGCAGCTCCAAACCTGGTAAAAAAAAAAGAGCTCAAGTGCTCACATATTTACAAATATTTCACTGTTCTGGAGAGGAAATATGGAGGGACGATAGGGAACATTAGGGATAGACTTGGAAAGGACAGAGCATGTGGTAGAGAGAAAAGCACCATCTGGGGAGCCAGGAAATTGTCCATTGATCCTATGTATTACTTTACTCAAGTGACTTCACCTGTCTGGGCTTAGGTGTCCCCATCAACAAAATAAGATGCATAATATCTACTGGGGGCACTGCCAGGGAATTCAACAGGTGATCTGTCAAACACCTGGCACCTAGTACCCTCCAAAAGCTCATGGTTTTTGGTCTTTCCATTGGAGAAGGAAAAAACAAAACACTTTGTAGAGAGTACTTCTATGATTCTTCCAAGAGCTCTCTGGGAGAGAACATTCCAAGTTGAAGATTTGGGAAGTATCACCCTCCACATTAGAAGAAGAAAATCTGTATATGGACCATGTTGGTTTTGACCATTTCATTGAGGCTGTCTTTCTTAGAGGAACAAAACAGAAGGAAAGCAGTCCAAAGCAAAATAGACTGCCCTGCTCTATTACCTTGTGTCATTTTTAACATTCTACTCTATTTATAAATTACACCAAGAAATGTAATATTCTGGGACTTCGTGTCCCAACAATCCCTCTTTTAGAGACTGAGAAACATCTTCCCCTGCTGAGTTTGAAGGACAAACTTCCCTAGATTCTGATCTGCTTGAATAACAATATTTGCACAGCACTCTACAGCTTACAATGCACTTTTATATCCTTCTCACAGCACCTTATGAATGACTAGGTTATTACCAACTCTTTATAAGTGAGAGTGGTGAAGGTCAGAGAGGCCAGTGAGTCACTCTCAATCATAGTAGGCATGACAGCTTGACGGCACCTTCTGCGAAGTCTGTCTGGGCCTCCTGTTTTCAGTCCTGATGGCATCAGGTCGGCTGTATCTTAGAAGCCCCAGTCTGTTGCAGTATCTCTGTCTCCAGAGAGACACAAGCACATACAACACCTGGTAAGCTCCTATTATCTTGGAAGGCACTAGCACATTTAAGTCCTTGCTAAGTATGGTGGCAAGTTGTTCTTGCCCACCTAGTTATGTGGACAGAATGTCTTCTTTGTGCCTGGAGGAGATTCATCCAATAAACATTTTATGGTGGAGAATCATGAAGGGAAAACTAGTTTTTTCAGTGAATGTCTTAGTCCCAAGGGAAAGGAAAAATATAATGTATTTGGGTCCTGCTTCTAAGGATGGAGACAGAAGTATAGCTGCATATTCTCTGAAGCTGAATGTTCCATCTACTGTCATAAAGTAAAGTGTCCTTAGTAAGTAGAAAGAAGTGATTAGAAATTTAATCTTTGGTTCATCTCTCACTTGGCTGTCTTCTATATTTTGCCAGGAGATTAGTAACTCACTGCCTGG